TTTGTTGAGTGTCTTCTTGCCATTAACCTCATCAGTTCCACTATCTCTCATTCCACGCGGAGAGAATCCTCTGCCCAACAATTCCTATGTGGATATTAGTCGGTGTAATTAAACTAAAAAACAGTTCCAAGTCACACCAGTTAAGAAACTGCATGTAATGCACACCAGTTGAACTGGAAATTGCTTCTCCCCAACTTGTGGAAGAATTAACAACCATAACAAACAGTATTTACCAAAGTCGTCAATACCTATAGGTTTACTACTTCGCAATGGGGTTCTTCACCTACTGGTATGTATGCGATATTCCAAACGACTTCCCAGCAAGAGAGAGAGGCTCGGTTTGAACTATACACTGGAGAGGTACATGTTCTAACCTATGAGTAATGCTGCTGGGAGTCAGATCAAAGAACCATTTCTGCTGAACCTGGCATAAAATTTGTAGCTCACAACAGTGCACATGTCCAGAACGCAAAAGTTGTATATATGATTTAATCCCACTGGTGGCACAGTACTTTTCTTACTACCTCTCTTCCAACTTCCCAGAGTGAGCCACCCAATTAACAGTCACCTATAAAAAGCAATCCATGCCAGTGTTCATACACTATATTACTTTGACTTTAGGCATATATACAAGTTTAGTTTGACTTTTCTCTCTGTTCTAAGCACATGAATTGATTTGAGTCCACACTTACATTCTTTCCTCAAGCACCTGCTATGAAACTTGCTAATGTACTACTGACTGTGGACTCTGATCTGAATGGAGCTAGTCCTCAGTTCACCCTCACCTGTATCTCCACTGGTGGACCTGCTACCACTGTCACTTGGACCAGAGACACCACCACTGTCACACAAGGAAATATGACTGTGTTAGTGACACAACAACAGCACAGTACATCCACACTCTGACTGTGACTGGAAGAATGCCAGGACTCTACAACTGTACTGTGAAAAACAACAAACCATCAACTACATCAAGAACTTTTACTGTAAAAGGTATTTGCCACTATAGCATTAAATTACACGATACCATTACATGGTTTTTTCATTTAGTTGCTTCAGTACCAACCAACCTTGCATCAGTTGTAGCTGGAAATGACTCCACCTAGTATCCATTTGACCTGGACTCCTCCCACTCCACTGGGAGCTACCACTGGGTACAGGATCTCCTTCACTGGAGGAGGGAACAGTGGTAGTGTCGATGTTAGTGGTGGGTCCACTGACAACTACACACTGACTGGTCTTATGAGGGGAGAGATGTACAACATATCCATTGTGGGAATATCTGAACACTTCTTCAGTCAGAGTGTGGCATGGGACACAGTCAAACTTCCAGGTGAGTTTTAGTAAAACGGTAAGTTGCGTGCAATAAAAGCTATTCATTGTGTTTTGTGGTGGAGAAGAAAGAGAAGTAATGAATGAAAAAGAACAGGAAGGAGGGAAAAGTAATAGCAGACAAGGAGGAAATGCTGGATCAATAGCTGCTGGAGTTTTGGTTCCTCTTATCCTGGTAGCTGTCATTGCTACACTTGTGGTTGTAACCCTAATCTGGTTGAAGAGGTAAGTTGTCTCTTTTCTCTTCCTCTATTACCTTTTCATTGTCCTCCAGGAGGCAGTCTAATGGCCTCAAAAACCCTCTGTCTGTCATCCATCAAACATTTAGCGCAGCTACATCTCCTTCAGTCAATAATGTCACTATGGATCACTCAACCAAACTCTACAAGAGACCCAATGATAAAAGTATACAACTGCTTGTATTCAGTAGTGATGAAAGTGAATTTTTTTTCTGTAGTTCCAGCAATTGTGCAGTTCCCAAAGGATACCCATGTCCAAGAGGGAGAGGCGGTGTTATTCCAAGTGAAGGTGACTGGAGTACCCCACCCCAACCTCACCTGGTACCACAATGGAGTACAGGTGAAGGCCGATTACTCCAGGGATCTGGCGGGGGATGGCTCCCTCACACTGCCTTCCACTGAGCTCAAACACAGTGGCGTGTACAGGCTGGTGGCCCACAACTCAGTGGGAAGAGTGGAGCAGGAAGTGAGACTAACAGTGGGGGGAGAGGGACAGATTACACCATCTTCTAACAAACCTACATCAGTCCCTACTGCTCCTATACCTGTCTCCCAACTTGGGAATCACGTTGAGAATAAACATAAAAGGAGAAACCAGGGTTTCAATGAGGAGTACCAGGTGAGCCTCTTACAGACCTCTGCTCTGTGTCCCAATGTGTGTATAATTATTTGTGTCTGTTTCAGTCACTGTATGACGGTCGGGACAAGACAATTTCCATAGCCACAAACTCAGAGAACAAACTAAAGAACAGATTTGGCAACATATGTGTCTGTAAGCACTTTCTGAATAGCAGGCATGAACATGCGTGTAATTTTTTCCACTATTCATTTTGTGCAGTAGGTGCAGTTGGTATAGCTAGCTTGCATTGCCCATATCAGTAACATTACCAAAAACAAACCTAACGTTTTCCTGCAATATTGTGTCATACGGCCATGGACCTCCCTTAAGAAGTAAACATGCACCAATTTGCTCTGTGGGCATGTTTGTTTTAGTATCTGTGTAGTCTCTTCTCCCACAGGTTTATCTTGCTGTGCTGTTGTGTATGTATAATGTGTATGTTGGCCCTTGCATAAACCAAGCAAGCCTGTGTGTCTGTTGTGCTGGTTAATTTAGATGATGACCACAGAGTCCAGCTCACCCCCCTACCAGGCCACCCTGACTGCCAGACAGACTACATCAATGCCTGCTACGTTGATGTTAGTGAACACCCATATAGCCTTTAGCTACTCAACAAGTTTCATTGTCTCCATAGGGCTATTCTACACCCAGCAAATTTCTGGCCACTCAAGGTAATTGATGATACTCACACACTTGCTTAACCGAGTTACTCACAGAGTTACACTTTAACCTGTTGTGTTGTAACCCTCGGCGCGCATGCGCAGCGAGGGTTACAGTAGTTGGGTCTGTCCGTTCGTGTGTCTGTCTGTTACTCTACATCTCACCTCTCGAATGTCTGTTCGTCCCAGAAACGATACCATCTACCCAACGGGCGACGAAGGTCAAAATGTATGTGGGGTTTTCTCTGAAAATACTCCGTTGCAGAGCTAGAGCGCGAAAAAGCCAATATGCAAATACGTAACGGACGGGATTGATCGATCCGCGTGCTCTGCGTACTTCGGAGGCACCAGAAGATGCAACGCAGGGCGTGTATCGCCTCTCGCATGCTATCTAGTAGTGTAGTTACCCCGCGTCAGATTCTGCGCAAGCTGGCAAGAGACCACGAGTAACAGCTAAAACTACCAATCAGTGGTACTGCGCATGCGTTTACTTACGCGTGCGCGTCACAGTGCACCGAGGGTCTGCACTTCAGTGCTTTTCATTTAATTTATAGGCAGGTAATAGTGGGGAGCTAAGGCAAACCCATAGTCACTATAATTATAGCTACTTGGTTTTAAAACTAAGTGTTGCCTTGCAGCTACCTACATTTTAACTATTTACTTTGTCACTAACACAGATATGTCAACCTTAAGGTTTACTAAACTGGATGTAAATTAGTAACACAACCTCAAAAGTATAACACACCAACTGTGGATATAATGCACGTGCGTAGAACTTTTGGAACAAACGTTCTACGCACATGCATTGTGCAGTTGAGCTAATCGTATCCAACGATCACTGCTAAAGTGACCCAGTCATCTACTTCAGTGACTTATATCTTTGATTGGATTTTGCATTGCTGCAGGTCCCCTGCCGAAGACTCTGGTGGATTTCTGGAGGCTGGTGTGGCAGGAGAGACCTCCCTCCATCGTCATGATCACCAAACTGGAGGAGGGAGGTAAGATCAAGTGCCAGCGCTACTGGCCTCAGACTGGCAGATGCAACTTTGGCCCGTTTGAGGTGACCCTCACTGACGAGCAGATATTTGCAGACTACACAACGAGAAGACTGGAGGCTCAGGTGGATAATGTTAATGGATGTGTGTCTGATTTAATGCCTATTTCTATTTCCTTGTGTATATACATGCAGTTGGAGGGTGGTTCAGGGCATCCTCTGAAAGTGGCTCAGTTCCACTTCACTGCCTGGCCGGATCACGGGGTACCTGACTATGCCACGCCACTCCTGGCCTTCCACAGGAGAGTGATCAAGGAACACAATCCCAGAAAACGCCCACTAATGGTCCACTGCAGGTATGTATGTACAGTGAAACGGAGAATGGACACCTCTCTATATGGGACACTTGGTTCTACACCATACTAGACCTTCAAAAATAGGACCCCTCTGAAAGAAGGACAATTTCAATGTCCCCAATGTGTCCCTTGTTCATACGGTGTCACTGTACTTATAGTCAGTATTATAGTTGTTTGTTATGTGTTTGCTCAACTTCTGTGGCAGTGCTGGAGTGGGCAGGACTGGGGCTTTCATCACCATAGACCATGTACTGGAGCAGTTGGGCCGAGAGAAAATGGTGGACATTCCTTGCATTATCAACAAGATCAGGCACCAGAGGATGAAGATGGTCCAAACAGTGGTATGATTGTGTGTGGGGGCGGAAGACTAAATGAGTTGCAGTCCATTCTTCTGCGTGCATGGGTGACTGTTTTCCTTCTTAGCTGTCACACAGTGTACTTTGGCAGGATAGAGAAGTTGTCGTTTGTTGTTTTTCAGGAAAAATAAATTATTAGTCGGCAAAAGTTTCTGTTAATAGCACTACTGTGATTTTAACACAGAAATGTTGTACAAACACACACACACACACACACACACACACAACTTGGTACAGGACCAGTATGTATTCATCCATGATGCTATTCTGGAGAGAGTGGTGTGTGGAGACACTCAGATTGAGGCCTCTAATCTCAGAATGGCCATCATAAAACTCAAGGAGGGCATTCCTGGAGAGAGTAGCTATCACCAGCAATTCTCTGTGAGCTGGCCCTTCATGATGAAACACAATTAGCTACGTAGGTTGCTAGCCAGTGGGTGCATGCTGAGCATTTTCACTTGAACTTCACTTTCACTTGGCTGACTAAAACACCATTTCACTTAGTCAGGATTCAAAATGCTAACCATGCAGTAAGGGCAGCACCTCTAACTAATAATTAAAATATTTTACGGACAAACATTTAAGATATTAAAGAAAATAATGCTCTAGAAGGTGTGGCATGTATTATGAACAACAGGGCTAGCAAGCAGCACGCAATTACAAAATATTTGTTCCGTGTGCGTACAGACTACATTAGAATCGACTCGGAGACGGGTATAAATAATATAGTGACTGTTTTTTGTCCATATTATGTAGATCCTGGAGAAAGTGAGTCCAAACCCAAAAGAAGTGAAATCTGTGGCAGGTCGTAGCAACCCCAAGAAGAACCGCAATATGGAGTTCCTACCAGGTTTCAGCAGATTGTGAATGAATACGCACATGATTGTGTTCCCTCTGTTGTCTCTACAGTTGATAAAATAAGAGTTGTGTTGAAAGGAGAGACTCCTGACTACATCAATGCCACTTTTGTCCACGTACGTTTTAAACCTTCACTGCTGACACATGTGTGCACGTGAACAACTGGGTATACTTGACTAGAGTGCATAGTGTCGTGGGTTTGAATCCCAGCCTAGGGCAGCTCTTTATATGGGAAAAAAGAGTTGTTCTGGGTGTAGTTGTGTCGTTTTTATTTGCTTTGCTCTGACCTCATTGATGTTAATGACACATAATACCCATAGAAGTGATATACTATTGTCGTAATTGTGGTGTTACTTTTACACCCAGGGATACAAGCAGCAGAGAGCCTTCATCATAGCTCAGAGTCCCATGGAGTCGACGGCCAGAGATTTCTGGAAGATGGTCTGGGACAGAAAGTGTGGAGTCATGGTGATGCTCTGTCACCTGGAGGAGGCTGGGAGGGTTCGTGGCTCAGCAGAGTGTACTCAGTGTGTGTACATGAATGGTATGGTGCCCAATCATTGCAGGAGGTGTGTTACCAGTATTGGCCGAGCAGTGGTTCAAAAGCTTTCGGAGAGTTCACAGTGGAATTACTCGGGGAGCAAAAGCTGACGGGGTTTATCACCAGAAACCTAACTGTCATCAATAATAAGGTTGTATTGCATGTATGTGTTATACTGCATACAAAGTGACCTCTTTCTTGTTGCTCTCTCCTACAGTCTAAAGAGGTTCAACAATTGTGTCAATTCCACATCACCAACTGGGCCCCTGACGGTAGCTGCTCTAGGATCAAGACTGTGATTGACGTCATCCTTGAAGTCACCAAAGTCCAGATTCGAACCAGCAACAAACCCATCGTGATACACTGCAGGTCCATTCGTCACTAGCAGCTTATGGCTCATTCCAGTCACCATATTGTCACCGTATTACATTCTTTAGTGACACAGTGAGCAGGTCGGGGATGTTCTGTGCCATACTCACCACCATTGAGAGGTGTAAGACAGAGGGAGTGGTGGATGTGTTCCAGGTGGTCAAGGCTCTACGTGTGCAGAAACCTGGAGCTGTCCTCACTGTGGTGAGTATATAGCCTTTACTTTCACATGGGACTATATATGACAAGAAGAGTACCATGCAATATAGCCATGTAACTGGGGATTGATCTAGTACATAGGGTTCAAGTATTAGCTAGTAACTGCTTTTGACTTTATAGAGACGGTCATCATGCGCATACAAATTACTTTATGGCCATGCCTAGGGAAATAATTATGGCCAAAGCACTATGTAGAGCAAAAATTAATAATGGATGTTTTTCTCTCACTATTTTCTCTCCTCATCTGTAGGGACAGTACATGACAGTTTTTGAGGCAGTTTTAGTTTTCCTGGACTCATTTGACACTTACTCCAACTTTGGTCCCAAACAATGACATTAGTGATGAACTGCTTTGTTCTTATAGCTGGTGTTTACGTTATAAGCATGCATGCAAATCGTGAGTAATTTATTAAACACTGACCCCATTACACAGTCCTTATTAATCTCTGTTTAATAGCTATAGGTTGAGGGTGTCATAAAATTAATATTAAACCTCTTCTTCATGATGGTTATAAGCAAAGCATTAATAAATGCTTTTACTGGCATGTAGTAAAATTAGCAGTCCCACTAAATTAGCTATTAGTTGGTGGAAAACTTGAAGAACTCCGACAAGTATCTTCCTCTTCTACGACCAGGGAGCTCTCGAGACACGGCTCTCACACTATGCTCTCCAGCTGGCAGTCCGCCAAACATCCCACATCCTGTGAAACCTTTCACTATATACAAGAGGAGAAGAAAGCATCATTAGTCTAAAAGGAGATAATTTGCTATATAAACAAATGCCCTGAAGGAAACCATTGTGATGCATGATACATACCAATCGCAACTTGGCGGCCATATTTGGAATCTCTAAGTATGAGTTTGATGATAGCAGGTGTTTTTGTCTCCACACACACCTCCACACTGCTGCCAGTGATGAAGAAAGAGAGCCTGGTTTCTAGAGGAGAGGGAGCTGTGGAAAGAGAGTAAAAGAGAAGTAAAGTTGCCCAAAATGTCGGGAAAATTGCATACTTTCAGCCTCTGTCGACCCCAGGTTAGGTAGGTCACAGTAGTATCCAAACTCTTTAGTATCGTAGAACGCCTCGCCGTTGGTTACGAGGGGGAAGAAACTGCGGATATAGTCGTCCTTTTTGTGGCCATCGCGAACCAGGTCACTGTCGGGATATTCAGCATCAGGGTGACTTTTGACCCACTCCACTAGGATGCAGTCGACCATCAGGTGGTGCAGGATGAATATTGGATCGTTGGGAGAGCTAGCGACATCATACATTGACCCCTGCAGATCTGCTGGGATGACCTCTGAACTCCCCAGTCCTAGAAGATAGTGAACCTGCACAGGTTTTTACAGCATAATTACTAACATAGTGAACCTGCACAGGTTTTTACAGCATAACCCATAAGGTAGATATTACCTTGGGATGAACACCAGTGGCAGCAACAGTCACACCAGTTGCGTCGTCAGGTATTCCCTCACACCGGACATCACCGGTAGGTACACAGGAACAGTAACCTTCCTGCCTACACGCCTCAACACCCATCGTAAAGTTAAAGTCGACACGATCATACACAGAATTTACAGATAACCGATCGTAAGGCTCAACTATATAGAACTCGGCCTCTAGAGCTCTATTAACTTCCTGCATTGTGGGCCAGTCCGGGTTACTGCTGTGACAGAGAATTGGATTCCCTATGAAGGGACAGCGTTGGATGCCTCCAGTGGGAATGTTTGGGTCGCAGATTTGCTCTGGAGTAAAGTGACAAATAGTATTCCAGCCATCCACAATGTCTCCAAACACGACAGGGCGGTTGCTGATGTTTCTGGTCTCTCCAAAGCGATTAAAGGTGAAGAGTTGTTCGCTGGGAAGACCGTAGCTGGTCTGGATCTCTCGACGCCAGTCCCAGAATGGAAGTCGGAACTTGAAGTAGTCCTCGCGCCCCATGGCCTCCAGCATGGCCTGGATCTCTGCCTCCAGGAACACGTGCCACCATCGATGCCACGTGAAGAATGCCGGTCCGTTGTGAGCATAGTCAAGGTAGGTCGGGGTAACTGTTAGTGTAAAACAAACAAAGTTTTGAATTCAGGCTCCTGAAGATAACAATTTCTCTGCACAAAGATCTTAGTCTTCAGATTGATATTTTTCTTGTAGCTATACTCATGTTCTTGATAGTGAGGGGTTTTAAGGAGAATGGATTGTAGACTTAAGGAAAGAATGACTAATTTGGCAACGTTCACTCAATCACTACTTTCTCCAGCAGCAGTGAAAGTCAGTTTCAAAGTGAGACTATAATTATATAGTACAACACTTGGCTTTGGACACATATAGGTAGAGAATTAGCTACCAACAAGGAATGCAGGTCACATGATTGAGTTGAAGTGCACATTTTCTGATTACGAGCAGGTGAGGGCAAAATGGACTTTTAGAGTAGCAAGACCAAAATTATCATTGTGGCAACAGATATGTGCAAAGTGTAGCATAAACTGTATCATTTTTCCACTGATCTTGTGCAGGGAACTAGATATCCTCATAGATTCCTGGCTATATTACTATGTTTTATGTAACCTATATAGTGTCACAGACCAAACCCTTACATGAGGGAGAGGGTCTGGTAGCTAATAATTGGGTTTCACCTGTGTGGACAATAATGGGCGTACAATGTTGTACAGACATTATTCCGCAGTAAACAGTCCATTATCCCATCACTTATTATATGTCCCTGATTTACTTTATAGACCATCTTTAGTAATTCTTGTGGTATTTTATCACAAATAGAAGACAACTAATCGCTGAAACACGAGAGGGTCTGGTTTACACTATTATGTATAATTATAAGCCTAAGTCACCTTTTGATAACCAAAGCAGGTGTTCATGGCATGGCTTACACTTACTACAATAGCGAGATTCCCAAGAAGCTAATATTATGATGAGACTAATGAAGCCCAGAAGCCAATGTGTCACACCAACTCACGTAGACTAAAAGAATCCTTTGCTGCATAGTGATGATTCCAGATCATGAAGTTGTAGAGACTGACATTGGCCATGTTCAGGTCGGCGGCTCCCGGCACCTGCTCCTCCAACACGACCACATAGCCCGAATCCCAGGTCTTGGTCCTCCCCAGAATGGCAACGAAATCTTCCCATTCCTCCTCGCTGAAATCCCGGACTGGCTTCCGAGGAATGATTGCTCTGGAAGCGCAGTCTTTTCCGTAGTATCCGTACGCGCATCGGCTGCAGTCGTAACCGCCGAAGTTCCCGCTGCACTTGCAGACGTTGGTGTAGTAATGAGGCCAGTTGACGCGAACGTCGGTGGTGTCGTTTCTGTGTCGTTCGAAGTTTACGGCGCCGCACTCCCCCCGCTCTGCGTCCTCTCCGCAGACCCCGTCATCGGTGACTGGGCAGCACGTCATCTGCTCCAGACTCTGCCTATCCGCACAGGCTCTCGGGATCTGAGCCGCTGACCTCTGGGACAGCATCAGCCCCAGGAAGATTGCGTACACTACGATTCCGCCCCTCATTGCGCTCGGAAACTCTCGTCTATAGCCTTCCAACCAGCCAGGTCGAAAAGTGGTCTTAGGTTCCGGTGTAGAGGGTCAGAAACGCATTTTTGTGGCATGAGTTGGACTGAGAGACCGCAGCGCTGCATGGTATGACACTTAGCGGTATTGAGCAGGTGTCAATCGCTGTTGATAACCATAAGCGTACACGTCAGTGCAGATAGGAAATAGTTGTATCATGTGCCATAGGACTGTCAGTATAGTACTAGCCTCGTTCCCAGGCCTTCCGCGAGGGCCTGGTGCATACTGTTCGCGCATGCGCCGAATACACGTTCACAGGAAAAAATGTGGGCGAGTCTGATACGCACACGGCGGTTCAGTCTCGCGGGTAAATTTTCGCCACTGAGCCAGTCGGCGGTGTTGTTAATAAACGGCGAGTCGTTCATAAACGTGAAGTCTGCGCGTTTCGGGTAGCGCTGTACTGCCGCCTCTGCTCTGCCAGTCGAGCGGTTGCAACTAACCGTGTAGCGGGAAGAATCCAAGAGTATACAAATGATGACGTCAAGGACTCGGAGATATCCGAACGTGATACGGAATATTCTACGCATGCGCGAACAGTTCACCCAGCAGGCCTTCTCCTCTCCTCCTCTGGGAACGGCACTGCATACAGTAGTAGCTGCACCTCTCACATCGGACCTTTGAGAAACTGACACGAAAAGGTGGCAGAAAGCACAGTATGAACCAGCTACTTACTCTAAACCTCTGACCTGCAACGTTCTGCACCTCTGGTCACAACTTGAAGTAGGCTGTAGCTAAATGGAAACACACTGAGTGCAGCAATAAGTGAGCACTGAGTTTCACCAGTTTTGCCTTCTGTAAAGGAATCTCGGATCAGTATATTAGGTTACCACTCAGTTTCAACCATACATAGCTACTTGGTACTGAAGGTAGCTATAGCCTTGTGATTTCATAGTTCAACTCAGTGTCTTTATCCCCCACATAACATTTCCCCACACCTCTCTCATTTCCTCATTATTATAGCAAGGTCCACACTTGCAAGCTGTATTATTTCAGCTCTGAAGGACTACTGTTGAGAGGTCACCGGTAGGGTTGTCGCACCACAAGTCATGAGATCATACAACCATCATGCAGGTATATATGTACTGAGTTGGCCTAAGCCGAAGAAACCTTTGCCATCAATGTGTAAAGTGCAAACTGAGAAAATTTTGTGCTGGTGTCACAGGAAGCTTTGTCAACAGTCGCAACAAATTTTCACAACATTGATGATGGTGAACAAAACCTTTCTGTCAAGGCAGAGATAATAATTATGTCCCCACTTTCATATATACTGCAAAGCAATCTTGGTAATTAACGGAGCTGGAAGCGACTAGATAGCCAGAAAGTACGTTGCTGAAAACCATGTGTACTAATTTGGTGTACTACAAATGCGCATCAGTGCGACAGTAGCGCGCGCTATCTTTAATTATCGGAACGGAGAGGGGCTAAGAAGGCGGGGCATGTTAGGCTGCATAAGCGAAACCAATGCAAGAGCGAAACGGGATTGGAATGCGCAATTAAGGCCGCACGGCGCAATTAAGGTTGCACAGCCATCCGGTATCGCCATCCGGTATCGGAACGGAACCGCATGCGGCAGTTCCTTATCCTGGGACTAAAGGAGGAAGAAACGTCTCCCAGACCATCTTCACACTTGTACTTTAGCAGCACTAAAGGAGGAAGAAACGTCTCTCAGACCATCCCCACACTTGTACTTTAGCAGCAAGTCGAAGGCATTATGTGCAGAGCCTCGTTTCGCATTTGCGTTAGGTGCGTTGGTTAACGCATAAGCGAAACGGATGTCAATCTAAGCAAAAAGGAGCTAATTTTACCTGAATCCTGGGACTAAAGGAGGAAGAAACGTCTCTCAGACCATCCTCACACTTGTACTTTAGCAGCAAGTCGAAGGCATTATGTGCAGAGCCTCGTTTCGCATTTGTGTTAGGTGCGTTGGTTAACGCATAAGCGAAACGGATGTCAATCTAAGCAAAAAGGAACTAAGTCATTCAGACAGATCAAGGAACTGAGTTTAAGGGTGTTTGTAGAACAAGTTATGATAACTCAAAGTCAAGATCATCCACGCCCGACCATACCATCCACAGTCACAGGGAAAGGTAGTCCTTTTAATATCCTTTGTCATTTGTATAAAATATATCTGAACCCAGATTGAGAGGTCTCATCTCATGGCCAACATTTAGGTTCTTTTCCAACTATTTCAGCTTTCAGAACACCTTCAAGCTGGATGAGAACATGGGCCTCAGCATCGATACAGATATGGCTTTGTGGATTGATATAGAAAATACAACAAAAGACCAGATTTGAGGCATGGTCATGGACTTTGTAATTGTGAATAGTGAAACAACACTCTGAGTTGATGAGTTCAAAAGGGCTATGAATGATCCTGATTGCGTTCTTCTAATGCCCTCCTTGATTACTGGAATGAGTTTGAAAGAAGTGTATCTCAATCAACAATAACAGTCTACGGCTAAAAATACCATAAACTTCATTATACTGAAATGGATCAGCTGATTGAGTGGGTAATGAAGCAAAGAGAAAAACGGGTAAAATCTTAGTTTCTTGCAGAGTGAAGGAAAAGTTCGGGAGGTTGTGGCAAACGACACTGGTCCTATCACAAATGAGATAAGCATTGAACAGGTAGAGGAGAACATTCCACATTCACCTTCTAAGGAGGAGGCAAGCAGTTTTGTAGCTAGTAAGGAAGAGATAAGTCCTGCAGCTAAAAAGGAAGATAATCATAATAATATTGTGATAGATGATTCTCAATCAGGCGAAAGTGAGTGGCCAACGTCATGGATTCCATCTCTTAATATGACTCAGTCCGACAAAGCAATCTTGAAAAGTTCTAATGCATGGCTATCGGACTCCATAATAAATGCTGCACAGTTACTATTAAAAAGGGGAAATGCACTGGTTGGAGGTTTACAAAATGTCAACTTTGGGCTCACAAATCCATTTGAAGTGGAAACAGGGGAATTCGTACAAATAATCCACACTGGGGAGGGCCACTGGCATGTGGTATCGACAATTGGAACGCAACATCCTGATGTCAATGTGTTTGACAGTATGTACTGTCATTGCCCTGAACATAGCAAGGTGCAAATATCAAACTTGCTAATGACAAAGAAAAACACAATTCGACTTCACTACAACAATGTTCAAATGCAGTCAGGTCAGGCAGACTGTGGCCTTTTTGCCATTGTATTTGTGACTGCACTTTTGAACGGCTTACATCCTGGGGTGTATAATTTCGATCAGAGTTTGATGCGATCACACCTACTCAATTATTTTGAGAGGGGGGAAATGGAAATTTTTCCGATTATAAAAGAGAGGCGGGTCAAGAAGAAGATTATAAAAGAATAGAAGAATTCAATGTATACTGCAGTTGTAGAAGGCCGCTAACACGTGGAGCTCAATTCATCCAGTGTGGGGCATGCCGGGAATGGTATATATCACATCGATTCTTGTGTAAAGATTGACAAAAGTTTTTATAAATACCAAGAAGAAGTGGTTATGTAACCTCTGTAAGTGCTGAAAGGCAAACAAGCTTTCTTCATGCGTACCATTTTGTCTCTTTCACCATGTAACCTTCTTCAAAACATACCCATGCCATACTCCAGTGATAATACTCATGAGTGTCATTATTATTGTACCATTCCACATATAATTTCTATCAAAATAATCTTCTAACCATGTCTTCATTATCCGTCGCTTTTCTCTCTGAGCAGCAGCTCTAAAGAGACTCATTAGAGACTTCCCTGGCTGTTCCCTTCCCAATTTTGTCTACTGTCTCCTTTGTCTCCTTAGTCTCTTTGTTACACAAGATGAAGTACGTCTAATATCTTGTCAGCAACGGTGTAGCACAGGGGGGGGGGGGCGCAGTTAGGTGCGCGCGCCGCGCGCCGCACTTTAAGAGGCGTGTCGTTTCGCTCTTGCGTTGGTTTCGCTTTTGCAGCCTAACAGGGGCACCACTTTTATATATAGCGCGCGGCACGCTCTAGCAGGCTCCTAAACTACTCCCACGCACGCGTAATAACGTACGGAGCATGCGCTCGTGTCGTGGAGGAGGCAGAATAGAAGGCCTGGTTTCGAGGCTAGGACTGCCAGCAGAAGAAACCGAGCCCAACATGACGAGCCGCCCTGGTGGGAGAGGCAGAGGAAGAGGAGGAGGGGTTCGCCCACCTCCAGGCCACTGTACTCGGTATAAATTCACGGGGAAATGTGAAAAGCGCTCCAAGGGAGAGCTGTGCCCTTACCGTCACGATCTCGTGGCCAGGTTTGTAACGGGTTTTTGTCTCTTTGCGGTGTTTTTTCAGTATTGTCACGTAAAGACATAATTATGAAGGCTAAATGACTTTCTCTTGGTTTAGGCATCTTTGGTTTTTCATAACTTTACCTAGTATCGCTATTATAAGTAGCTAGAGAGCTAATATCATGATCCGGGGTTCACCTATTCTACCAACATGTAGCTACACAATGCTGTGCCTTACTAAGGATAGCAGGATGAGTATAGCTATATATACAGCTGACATTGTTCTTTACTAGAGGAATGCAACGCATTGTTGGCGAGCAACTAGGTGGGGTTGCTTCACGATTCACTTTGCCAACCGATAATATCTGGGCATGTGGAGTAGAAAGTCATGTTCATTATTGAAGCAGATAATGACACTTCGAGACAGAAGAACAAGCACCGCTAAGTACAATGTGCTAGCTCAATGAAAGGCTGCTTGTAACAAATAGCTGTTAGCTAGCTGTGTTCATACAGGCATGCAATTTGTAGCTACGTAGAGTCAGAATTGAAATATAAAAACTACCAGTTTGAAAGTGATTAAGTAGCCAATCTCCAGCCTATAAGGTAGCTACACCATAATGATGAACACATGATATACCTATGAATGCGGGTCAGATGACCAACTGTATCAACTTTTGGTAAATTACATTGTGTTCTTGAACTAACAGGAAAACCTATCAGGAGTGTTTGGAGATCCCAGAAGGCCTATCAGTTGGAAT